AGTTTTAGGATTAATTGTTAGCATACATGTTTTGTTTATTTGCAGTTCTACATTATGATTCTAGTAATATGTCTCATAAACGAGCTAGGTCATCTTCTAGTCGTTCCAATCAACTACCAAACCCACCTCCAAATCCTCTTTCAAATCCTTCTCCCAATCCTCAAGAAATGACTATCCAAAATTTGTGTTTTAATGAACCTAACCGTAGAAACCTCTACTCTAGGTACGTTACTCACTTTGAGTCTTATAATATTAGTGATGAACGTCTTCCCTCTCTAAAGGCTATGGAGCAAATGAATTTTAAATATCTCCCAACTCTCCAAGCTTGGAAATTTGACAACACCTTTAAACTCAAACCCGTTGTCATAACCAACTTGTTCATATTTTCTACTCCGATGTTGTGTGTGTCCAAAATGAATTACTGCAACCAAAAGTATTTGTTCCTATCTCTTGGGCGAATAAATTACTATCGATTCTGATTATATAGCACGTGCCTTTGGACTAGAAAATATATGAATAGATAATGAGAGAGATTTTGTTCCATCACCATATGAAGTAAATAAAAGTGCGAATGTTCTACATTACCAAGAACGTTTTCTACATTTAATGATTTCTTGGTGGTTTAGACCATTCGGATGTAAATATTCTTCCTTCCGTAGCATAGACATATAGTGGATACAATGTATACAAAACAATAAACGAATAAATCTCCCTCAAATTATCTTTGGAGAGTTAGTAGAATCTGTTAACAGTGTACCCTCTAAACGAGTTGAATCCTTAGTCTATGGTTGTCTACTAAGTAACATGTTTATTAAATTCGGTCTTAGGGTAGACCTCGATGTAACCATCCCTCTTAGTACTCAAATAGACTTTACCTCTCTTAGAAAATCTGGATGGACTGGGGATAAAACAAACTGGGTTTGATCAACCAAGAATACTCTCAGTGCTAGTTCTTCACGAGCAACTCCGGCTCCGGTTCCTGAACTCGACGATGTTTTATGAGATGTCGATGATCATGTAAACCAAGTACCCGATGATGAGCCTCATAGACAAGGTAGTACAATGCCTCCATATTTTTAAACGCTAATGAAGACATTGGATTTACGGTTCGCATCCATGGAGTCCCATCTTACCGCTATACTGTTAGAAAATCAACGGATTGATGTACTCACTCAAGATGTTGCTTCCTCTAGAGAACATCAATCTAGTCTTGACCCTCCTACGGATGAATAAACTCCCTACTTTGCTAGTGATTCTTAGGTTGATTTCTGTTTTTGAATTTTGAACATTGTTTAAACATTTTGATATATTATGGATTTGGTTATTTATGTTTTGGATGATTGAATGATATTTTGAATTTGATTGAATGTTGATTAGATTTTTCATTTCTTTTTCATCATTTTACATCATAATACAATTATGACCATACCCAAATACATATTGAATATTGATAATGTTAACTAACCTCTCTTGGCATTCTTGATCTTCACAACTATATATATATCTTTTGGCTATCTTGTTTATAAGATTCTTTTTTATTTAACAAAAAGGAAGAGAAATATTAAAGTAATGGGGAGTAATTTTCAAAAAGAATTTTCAAAAGAAAACAAAAGAAAATCTTAAAATTTCTAAAATATTTTGTTATATCAAAAAGGGGGAGATTGTTGAAAACATTTTAATATTTTGATATAACAAATAAACAATTTATTTAATTTTAAGAAAATTTAAGATTATATTCTATTAAATTATTTGAATATTACAAATATTACTCAAAGTTTTAAAATGTCAAATTTTACTCCTTACTTAATGAAAAATTGAGAGTCGCACTAAAATTATTTTTAAAATAATTTTTACTAAGTGTTTCAAACTTTAATCGAGTCAAAAATATAATTTCAATATGGTAGTACCGATACTGCCTTAACAGTATCGATACTACTCCTTTGGTTTTGACTTCAAATTTTAACAGAATCTCAAAATGGTACCGATACCATTGTCTGGTATCGATACTACTATATATAGTATTATCGATACTCTTTGGACGGTATCGATACCGTTAGCTTCCAACAGTCAAATTATTTGAATTTATAATAGGTAGTATCGATACCCCTTAGGGAGTACCGATACCAAGATGCTCCCAGCCGCTATTTTGAGTGGAAAACATTACCCAACAGATTTATTGACTCTCATAACATCTCCAACATTTAGAATTGATCAAATGAACATATAAATAAGGTTTCAAGCCATTGGTGATTAATAAGAAAGAAAAGAAACAATTGAGAAAGCCTTAAAATCAACTTTGAGCAAGATCAAGCCAACATTCATCTATATTCATTTTGCTTTCTAAGAACACTACTTGTGCTTATTTGTATTCATTTGTTGAGTGTTCTTATTTGTTCTTGAATTGTGCAAACAATCTTTCCTTGTGAGGTTTCTTATAAGTTTGCAAATTTTTAATTTTCTCTTTGAGAGAGTGTATCAAGAATTTGAGGTATAATTCTTGAGGGATTTGTAGATTTACTCTTTATCCTCAAAAGAAAGACAAATCAGTGAATGTGTGGAAATACTTAGTGTGGATAGCTAAGGTGGTGGACTTAGACTTTGGTTAAGAAAGTCGAACCACTCTAAATCGCTCTGCAAATTATTTCTATTTTTCTGTCAAGCTTTCACAAAATTTTTAATTGCCAATTCACCCCATCTTGGCTATTTCATCCTATCGATTGACTCAACACATTCAAATCCAAACCCATTTAAAAAATAAAATAAATTATGGAAAATCTGGATTTTACCTACCAAATCGGAGAGCCTATACCCTACACAAAGATATCATTATTCCTACCCTAAAGTCATCCATAAATGAAGAAGCAAGCAAATTAAAAATGGAGGAGTTATTTCTATGAGAGGAACCAGAGAAGGGAACTGGAACGAAAAAAGGACTTCAAATATTCAATATTCGAAGAGAGAATCAAAAAGGGGAAACATTCGAACCAAAAGCAAGTAAAAAATAAACTACCTTTTCTTCGACCACTATCCCACGGTCGTTGGAGTCAAAGAAACCGAAAGCGTTTCTTCGTAGATCTACAGCATTTGAGCCCTTTCCAGACGAAACAAAGCATGAATTCATGGCCAGGGCAAAGAAGTGCATCGGATGGTGTCATTTTATCTCTTTCCCACCTTCGGCAGATGACAGTCGTTGTCGGTCAATGACGGTCAACGCGATGGCGTCTCACCGGATTTTGGAATCTCATGACCTCCGGTTGAGGCTCGTGTGAGCTCTCTCTCCTTCAGGCTACAATGTGAAGAAGAAAATGAGAATGACCGACCCTTTTGGGTTGGTTATCGGCCTTATATGTCATGCGTGAAAGGAAACAGTTTAGGGATGACTCAGAGAGCAATTTTTAGCGCTTGACCTATTTACAAGAAAGGTCCTTCATGGTTTGTAAAATTTTGTTCTGGTCATTAATGCAAATTTTAGCTTTATTTTACTTTATGCTCCTATCTTATTTTATGTTATAATATTGTCTCTATTTAGTTTTAAATTTTTTATGGTTTTATTTAAGCATGGGTCATCATACCTTACTTTATTTATACTTAAGTTGTACATTTTCCTGTTATATCATTTTAGTCCTTATATGGTTGACTATCACATTTCTATTAGTGTTTGACTTTGGCTATGGTATTTGCAATGGTTATGTTTTAGTCACTGATCCCATGTGTTATATAAGTTTCGTTGATGTTTGAATTTGGCCCTAAGGTTTACGAATATGTTGTTTTGGTCACTCTTTGGTGTGGATGCATTTTTGGTATAATCATAGTTTCTCCTGTCATGTTTCTTGTTTAGTTTATTTTAGTCCTTAATATTATTTATGGGTTATTTTTGTTTCTAGCCTCTGTTGTTTGATATTTTTGATTTGTGACTCTAGTTTGTTTATAATCATTTTTCGGTCCTTCAAGTTTCTGTTAGTCTTATTTCAGTCCTTCATGCATGAATATATTTTACATATCATATATATGTATTATATTGAACGAATATTATCCATGCTTGTTGTATATATATGTTGTTATAATTTTTATTAACATTTATTTCCCTCATGTTTCTTCATCTATTGTATATTACTCGAATATTTTTCAAGAACTTTATTTGTAGAACGGGCCTGGAAAGCACCACTTGATCGAAGTGGTGTAATCCGATACGATTTTCAAACAAAATATGAAATTGAAAGCACGAGTCTCTTTTATGAATTTATTAAAATCATAGTTTTATTATTCTTTATAATGTTTATGTTATTTTAATTTTTTTTTACTTTCACGTGATTTTATATTTAATGTTTGTATTGATGATGAATGTTTTGGGAAAATGAGTCATATTTTATTTTGTGTAAAATTTCGATATTGATATAAATTCAGATGTATATAATTCAAAGATAAAATATTCTTTACAGCTAAGAAATAGGTGAGATAGCTTTACCGATGGAGGATTGCGAATCTTGAGAATTCTTATCCAATTAAAGAATTTTCTTTAATTAATCAATTCAAAGTAATTTAATTAATATTCAATAAATGGATCATAATTTTACTTTTGATTCGAATTTTAAGTTTCACCATTACAACGTTGTATAAGCGACTAAGTACCAATATTGGGCATTGTGGTGGTGCTAATCCTTCCCCACACGTAATCGACTCACGGACCTATTAAATCAGATTTTTAGTAAACGCATACCAATTGTTTTCTTAAGAAACGATATTTTCTTAAAATTGTTTTTAAGATGTTTTTAGGTATTCAACTTACTTAGCTTAAAGGTCGATGACGACTTCTATTCAAAAATTTCAAATTAATTCAAAATCATCAATTTTTAAATATAGTCATAATTGTTTTTCAAAAAAAAATGGTTATGACAATATTGTCATTATTAATGTTTTTAAAAATATTTTTTTAGAAAGTATGATATGCATCTTTAGTATTTTGTAGTTTGGTTGGTGCAACTTACAATAAAATATATTTATTTTACAAATATTCATCCAATAGATCAAAGGGAAAAAGAAACAAATTACAACTTTTGTCATCATCAATAATTGAACAAAATCAGACACAAAATGGAGCTCCCCATATTTCCCCATCAACCTTTTATTTGTCACAAAGAAAGTGCCAAAACTATAACACTAACAGCAAACAAAGCAAAATTATGCATGGCAAGGCCAGGAGCTCTAGACTTCTCAGCAACATCAGCAGCCTTTCCTGGTGCAGGCGTCGGACCTGAAGACCGAGAAGAAAATATTTGCAAAGGTTGAAGCACTTGATCCACCCGATAAATAGCAAGCTGACCGTCACTATAAATGGTGCCAACAAGTCTGGTTTTCATCAGCCCCGTCATTAGAGTCACTGTTTTTCCAGCAGTGGTGACATTGAGAGGATACTCACCATCGCCACTATCTCCGGCGTGGGTCGTCATCGGACTACTAACAGTTTGGAACTGGTTCAATGGGATGTAAACCGGGACGACGTGAAATAGTACCGGTTCAACCCTTTGATTATCGTTGAGTGAATTCATTGGACCAGATTTGAGGTTCGTGAAAGCCTTATCTGTGGGTGCGAAAATAGTTTTTCCATCGTCTGGATCTCTGAGCTCGCCGATGAGGCGATCGGAGACTTGGGTGGATTTTAGGAGACGAACGAAGAATGTGTATTGGTTGGCTTTTTTGAGGATTTTGATGATGTTCGGTGGACTGGTTGGTGGTGCCGGTGCAGGAGCTTGGGCTGAGGGTGTTGAGCAATGGAGATAGGTAAATAAGAGAAATGAGATAGTGAAGATGAGGTTTGGGTATTGCTTCTTTATTGCCATGGTTGTAGGGCTTTCAAGCTGGTTGTTGGGAAAGAATGGGAAATTGAAGGCATTATAAGGAGAGGAAAAAATGAAGGATAAAACAAACCATGGGTTACTTGGAATGAAAGGAAAAACAGAGGAGATTTCGAGTTTGATGTTTGAACAAATAATAATGATATAATGATATTTTATGGTTTTGGTGAGATTAATATAGCAATCGTCACAACTTTATTAAATCTATTTTTCTTTCAAAATAGGTCTAAATATATAATATTTTGAGTAATTATAATATAATATATAGTTAAATTCTTTTTAAATTTTGAAAATGTACTATTTGAATTCGAATCCTTTAAAGAAAATAACATTTTTATATATTAAATAGTTTTTTTTTAATAAAACAACCTCATATTGTGTTGAGAAAGATCGAAGAAGTTAAATCTCCAATTTGGATTACATGCATTCAGGGATGGATAGAGGGGTACGGGTGGAGCATTCGCTCCTCTTGAAAACTTAAAATTATCATATATTTTAGATTTTTCTATGTATTCTTTATTAAAAATCTATTTTCATCCCATGAAATTTTATAAGTTTAAATTTATACCCTAATATAAAACCATGTTGTTGAGTTAATCGATTGATGGAATCGGCCAAGAGGGGGTGAATTGGCAATTAAAATTTTGGTGGAACCTTTTGCAGGAAATTGAAAGTAATTGCTAAATGATTTAGAGTGGTTCGACTTTCTCAACCAAAGTCTACGTCCACTACCTTAGCTATCCACACTAAGGATTTTCCAACAAATTCACTAATTTGTTCTTTCTTTTGAGGCCAAAGTGATAACCTTACAACTCCCTCAAGAATATACCCCTATTCTTGAGAACACTCTTTCCCAAAGAGAAGATTACAAATTTGCAAACTTATAAGGAAATCCTCACAAGGTAGATTGTTTGCACAATTCTAGAACAAAGAAAGAACACTCAAGGATGAATACATTTGAGTACAAGAAGTGTTCTTGAAATTAAAATGAATATTGAATGAAAAATAGGCTTGAAATGATTAAACAATGAGTTTGATGCTTTCTCTTTGATTCTCTCTTGATTCTTGTTGATTGTTGTTTCTTGTTTTTGATCAATGGCTTCTAAGCTTCTTTAAATATTCCTTCAATTGATTCTGAACGTTGGGGATGATTAGTGGAGTCAATAGAGCCGTTTAAGTGTGAAAACAATTAATAAAATCAGTTGGGAGCGTCAGTGCATCGATGCATACACAAGGTGCATCGGTGCATCAAGTGTAAAATTCAAATATTTTGACCGTTGGAACACTTAGTGCATCGGTGCACTAAGTGTGCATCGGTGTACTAAGTGTGCATCAATGCATAAAATGCATTCGATGTTTTGAATAAGCCTAAGTTCATCGATGCATGGTGTGTGCATTGATGCATAAAATGCAATCGATGTTTTCATTAAAACTTGAGTGCATCGATGCATGGAGAGTGCATCGATGCATAAACTGCATTTGATGTTCAATTTATTCATTGGTGCATCAATGCATGTTTGAAAAATTGATTTTAGGCTTGATTTTGGTTCAAAATACTTTGTGAAAATTGTTTCAAAAATATATTAAGTATAAAACACAATTTTACACATTTAGTAAGGTTTGAAATTGATCTTGAAAGAGTTGGAGTAATAATTTGATATTTGATTAATTGAATCGATTATACTTATAAAAATCTTTGTAAAATCTTAAAATTCATTTATACTTAATTTGTTATATCAAAACATCAAAATGTTTTCAACAATCTCCCCCTTTTTGATATAACAAAACACTTGAGTAATTTGAATATTTGTTTTAAAAATTTATTTTTGAAATCAATTTGAAAAGTTAAAAATTAATCCCCCTTACTATGATACATCTTCTCCCCCTTTTTGTTAAATCAAAAAAGCTCTAAAACAATTTAGCCAATTTATTTAATAATAAGATTAACCTGCTAAGATCACAATCAAAAAAGAGATTAGCCATTAGTTTCATAATCAATATTCATTTCGAATGTGAAATGGTAAATTGGTCATATATGTCTAATGATGCAAAAATAAGAAAATTCAAACCAAACTAAACATATATGTATTAAGTTCCTATAGCCAAAAAAACCAAAACACTAATCCAAACATTCAATCATCCAAAATAAAAAATCCAGAAATATCAAAATCAATCCAAGTTTTAAATCCAAGAAAGCATAACAAGGAAAAATCTACTCCATCGGAGGATCGGGAGGAGGAGGAAATCGTGCTTGCATCTCAAGAGAGAGAGCATCCATACGTGCAAGCATCTATCATTAAAACTCCATTTGTTGAGCTTCCAAAGTGTTTAAGCGATGATTCACCGCTTCGTTATTAGCAGTTAAATGGGATTTGATTGAAGCAAACCGTAGATCAAATGTCTCCAAAAACGAACAAAAATATGGATGCACTTGATCCTCTTGTGGTGCCGGCGCATTGTCAGGATCGTTAATGTCTTGAAATAATCCTTGAAGCTCGGGATCATCATATGCAGCCGGTGCCGAAGGAGGAGGAGGATGAGCACGAGAAGAGCTAGGAGCAGGAGGTGCTCGTGAAGAACTCGCTCCCGGAGTTTGCTTAGAGGGTCGATAAACCCATTGACCAGTTTCCTCATCCTGTTTCCAATCAGCTTTCTTCAAGGAGGTGATATTGATTTGATTTTGAAGAGGAATGGGATTGTCAAGAGAGACGTTAAGACCTAGTTATAAAAAGATTACTAATAAGACATCCATAAACTAATGTTTTGACATGTTTTGAAGGAATAATGTTTATGGTATCTACTAGCTCACTAAATATAATGTGTGGCAAATTTATTTGGTTCTTATTCTTGATACAGTGCATCCACCATAAATCCCTAATACGAAGAGTGGAGTACCTACCTCTGGATGGTCTAAACCACCAAGAGATCATTAAATGAAGAAGACGACTGTGATGAGATCGTAGAGTACTAACACTAGCATTTGGAACATAGGGATATTCCACAGTTTCTTTTTCATTATATAAACCATCGTCATCTAGCCCAAAATGTGAAGATGTCGTCTCGGAGTCAATATTAATATATTGTCCTAAAAGGTAGGATCTGATTGCTATAGTCCCACATTGAGTCTGGTTTTGAATACGTATCACATTAGAGTAGAAAATGTGAACTAAATGATGATAGACGATAGGTTTTAGGTGAAACAGTTTATCAAACTTCCATGTTTTGAGAATCTGAAGGTATTCGAAGTTAATAACAATTATGGCTTGAACAGAATGAATACGCTCTTCCCGGATTCTAAGAGATTGGAAAGAATTCATGTACCTATGGTACAATTCTTCTCTATGACATTCAGGCATATTAAAATAGGATCCTATAAGATTTATAGGATGAGTAGGAACGAGATTAGGAGGTCGGTTAGAATGACTAGAAGAGGTCCTTGGGCGTTTAGGATTTGACATGGTTTAAGGAATCAGAATAAGGAATGTAACCTGTAATTTGAAAAACACATGTATGCAATTTAATCAATCTCAAAACTCAATTGAGTCTGCAATAATTCAAGGTTCTCTAAATTAATTCCTAATGGGCAATGTATCGAAAACTTATTTGAAAATAATTTTTGAAAAATCATAATATGTATAGTTTTCATGAAAAACAACATAATTGAGTCAAAAACATCTAAATAAATCAAAAGATTTTTGATTTTTTTATTTCAAATTTCAAAGAAAATTTTGAAATATTGTGTGTTTTTGACAAAATTTGTTGTAAAATCTTGGTTCTAATCACCAAACAATCAATGCCCGATATAATGTTCATCCTAGAACTAATCTAAACTAGTTCTAAAATTAAAATATGATAAAATAGAGATTTTTAGAAAAATATCTTGAAAATTTTGGACTGATGAGAATGAGAAGTTGTTTTGTATGATTTAATGATGTTAGCAGGATATGGAGATGAAAAGCTTGAAGATTCCGACTATTTTTCGTTGATTTTGAGAAAAAAATGAATTTAGAGAGGGAGAGAGGCGAATGGATGGAGAGGGTCTAGTTTTAGGGTTTGAAACAAATAAGAAAATAAGCCTTTTAAACCCAAAACCCAAAGAATGCATCGATGCATGGCTTTGTGCATCGATGCACATTCAAGGAGTGCATCGGTGCATCTTCATGATGTATCGATGCACATACAAAGGGATACATCGATGCACTATTCAGTGCATCGATGCATTAAGCACAAAAATGAAAAAAAATATGTATTAAAACACTGAAAATGCTAAAATAAACTACTCCAGTGGTATTGGAAACTCATATAACGAAAATTAATCATCTCTAATCAATTAATTTTATCCTTGAACTTCATTTGATATAAGCATTTTTCATTTATTCTTAAAAGTGCTAAAATTAATTTAAATACTAAGTGAAGGTAGGTTAGTTAAACCTAATTCTCTTCTAAGTGTCCAAAATCTTTCTTTGTCTAAAGGTTTTGTAAAAATGTCCACTAATTGGTGCAAAGTATCAACAAATTCTAGAACTACATCTTCCTTAGCGACATTGTCTCTAATGAAGTGATGTCTAATTTCAATATGCTTAGTTCTAGAGTGTTGGATGGGATTTTTAGTGAGACAAATAGCACTAGTATTGTCACACTTGATAGGAATGGTACATACTTCAATTCCATAATCAAAAAGTTATTGTTTCATCCATAAAACTTGTGCACAACAACTACAACTTGTGCACAACAACTACTAGCTGAAATGTATTCCGCTTCAGTGGTAGATAATGCAACACAATTTTGTTTCTTTGAAAACCAAGAAATCATCATATTTCCAAGGAATTGGAAAGTACCGGAGGTGCTTTTCCTATCTAATTTGCATCCTCCATAATCTGCATCAGATAAGGCATGCAAGCTAAAGCTAGAGTCTCTAGGATACTAAAGTCCTAAACTAGGAGTGTCCTTAAGGTATCTAAGGATTCTCTTAACAGCTGGTAAATGTGATTTCTTAGGACATGATTGAAATCTAGCACATAAG